AAAATTATCTTTATATTTTTGTTTGAGGTTTTCCCTTTTTTTTTTGTTTTACAAATGCTGTCACTCTGCCTTGCAGGCCCTGCTCCACCACAAAAGCTCTGCAGCAAATTAACAGAAATCAAGAATCAGAAAAGTTCTGTAATAACTCTGTTTGAAATTACAATAATTGAAATAAACTACAACTTCTTCATTTCTGTAGTATACTCACTCAAAGCCTTTGATGGCAGCATTCCGTTTTTCTGGTGAAGAGGGCTTCATTAGCCGCTCTCGTCTCGCCGGATATGCAGACGTGTGTCTCATCTGTCCCTGTAGCATCCAGACAAGAGTCAAGTTATCTCTGAGATTTGTGTGCTCAAAACTACATTTACATTTTGAGGTAGTTGACGAAGTGTTAAGTAGTCAAATGTTCCTCAATTTTACAACAGGACTAATGGACAAATAAAATAAATTACTTATATTTAGTTACTTTATGGAAATTTATTTACATTACTTACATTCATCTATTGCAAACAGTGCTGACAACAGTGAATTGTACTACACAATAACACACATATACATCAGTCAGATGTCTACTTCATATCTAGGACCTGTTAGACATACTTCTATGAAATACTTCTATGAAATTCATATAGAAGATTTTCCTACCAGATATGAAATAGACATTTAGTAATCGTATTTAAGATGTATATGGTTTAAAATTTATGTAAACCTACTTTGTGTTTCCTGGAGTCCCTTGTTAGCTATACATAATAAAACGTGTTTATACAGCAACATCACAACTATACTATACCATTTAGCATCTTTACACGTTCAGCAGTTTGCTCTAAAGTAGTTCAACAAATGCAAATTTAAAACAAGGAACCGTGTTTTGGTTTGTAATACGTACATTTGTAAACACCCTCATCCAAATTTCCCGCCATGTTCGATTATGACGCATCTTCTTCTTCTTCTTTTTTATGATGTATCCTCTCGCGTGGCCTCCTGGGATAGAAAAGTAACCATTGACGAGCACTCAAGAAGCTGGGCAGAAGCAGTAGGACATCCGGGAAC